ATTGTGCTAATAATTTTAGAAATTTAGCACATAAAATGATACTTTAAACATTCTTGCAAACAACTTTGGAACTTTTGGTTATAATATTCGTTTAATTTCTGAATTTACATAGCCAGTGATAAGAGTTGAAAATTAGTGATTGTAATTTTTAAATTTGTAACATCTGAAAACTTTTATAATTAATAATGTTTTTTATAATTATTAATTAGGATGGTTTTAATAAATGCTTTTATTATTGAATTAAATGATTTTTAATTATATACATATTTTATTTTAATTTTGAAGGAACGGAAGTATAATTTGCTTGTATTGTGAAGAATTAGGAGAACCTTAGAGTTTGTGGGAGACTTTAAAGATCCACATCTTTTGTCTAGCATTCATCGAAGTAAGAGGAAAACACGTAATTTCACTATGAGCGTAGAGTTTATGTTAGATAATGAAATTGATCTTCAATCTCTTCTCTATTGTGTGCATTGTATGAGAGATAAATCTTAATTTCTCCATATTGTTACTATATTGCTCATATATTATTATTATATTATTGTTATGTGTTTGATTATCCAATTATATTCTATGTTATAAGTCAAAGTAAGATACTTATCGCTCCCTGTTTTTTATGTTTGTTTTATGTGAATGTTGTTGTAGGTGAGACTTACACATGATGCTAATGATGTTGAAGACAAGGCATAGACTTTGTCTTCAGTTCATGTTCTGATAGGATGTGATATGAAGATTAATTAAGATTTGAATTTGATTATATATTAATGTTGGGATGATTATTAGTTTCCACAATTGTTATTTTATTGGTAGACACTTGTTGGTATTTCATTTTTGGTATCTTATGTGATCTCTTGTTTGACCTAAGTTATTTTTTTAATTATGAACTCCTTTCTTTTTTATTTTAAATATTACACTTAATATGATATGTGAAGTAGAGAATCTCTTAAAAGTGAAAAAAAAAAAAGTAATTATACAAAACTCATTTGTATTAAATAAACTTAAAATGTAGTACTATGTATTAATTTTTGAACAAAGGTAAGTATATATATATATATATATATATATATATATATTTAAATGTGCAAAGCAGGTCATTAAGCTAGGTCTGTGGAATCATTAATGTACCTCAAACAAGGATAAGCCAATTGATTTCAGTTAAATACCAAAAACGCTCTAAACTAGCAAGGAGTAAACTGAGATATCTATAAACTCGAGTGTATAATTTCATACAATAAGTATCATGAACCAACTAATACATCTCTAGCACGTCTTAGACGAAAACACATGAATGATTTATTGATTTTAGGGAAAATTACACTCCCTTTCCTTGTGCTTTGTTTAAATGACTCACTTCTTTCCTCTAGTTTTTTAAAAATCATTCATCTCCTTGAGAACATCATTAAAGTGAGAAAAATAAAAATAAAAATAAAAGTCAATTCATATTATTCTATCAATCATATGCGTATTTATCATTTGTTTTTGAATTATGTACAATATTATGTTTTATTTATAAAAAATTTTAGGTTAAAACCCTTATTTGGTCCTTAATAATATTTTTTTGTTTCAATTTTGTCCCACTTTAATTTTTAGTTTCAATTTAGTCCCCAATAATTTAAATTATTACAATTTGGGACTTCCGTCCAAATGATTTAAACGGATTTAACTGTTGGCCACGTGAATGTCAGGTGGATGCCACGTAGATGCGTAGGTGGATGCCAAATTTCTTGAATACACCTGGAACCAGAACGGCCCATTTTGGTTCCAGAATCATTTGGACACTAAATTTGGTAATATTGTCAATGGGGATTGATAATTTCAATTGCTAAACATTTGGGCTATACAGTGTATCATTAAGGACGATGCAGTGTATCACTAAAGACAATGGTAGCAGGTTTTATTTCATTACTAGTCAAACTGGAGTGAACCACTTACTACCAAATTGACATTATACAGTCAAGAATGAAACGAAACGGTGTTTCCCCTTGAAGTCATTGACGATGTACCCCAACAATAACAACCTTCCCTTAAGGAGGTACAACCTGAATTTTTGTGGTTTACGGTTTCCCTTCAGCGTTACCTAGATGATTTCCTTTCTTAGTAATTTCTTTGAACTTTTTTAGTATATATTATGTTCTGAATTTTTGTTTTTAGTTTCTGAACCATGTTTCTGTCTTTGAATTTATGATATGTTATGAATTTTTATTTTCAATTTTTGAATCACATTGTGGCATTTTTGTCAACGCATGCATGGAGTTGGCGTTCTGGAACGGGCTGTTCTGGCCCATTCTGGTTTCAGAACGGCCCGTTCTGATGCACTCATGGTGTGTTAAATTTGCATTTGGAACGGCCCGTTCTGGTTGCAAAATTAAAACGTAACATATGCAAGCAGAATGGACCGTTCTGGTTTCAAAACGGGTCGTTCTGGTTCTAGGTGTATTCATGAAATTTGGCATCCACCTATGCATCTACGTGGCATCCACGTAGCCAATAGTTAACTCCGTTTAAATCATTTGGACGGAAGTCCCAAATTGCAATAATTTAAGTTATTGGGGACCAAATTGAAACAAAAAATGTATATATATATATATATATATATATATATATATATATGTGTGTGTGTGTGTGTGTATATTCTTTAAAAAATAGAACGAGTACATAAATTAAATTCTTTTAAAAATTAAATTTTTCTTAATTATGTCACTTGTAAAAGTATTTAACAAATGATTAATCATTGATAAAAAAATTATTGGATATTCTCATTTACTTAAAATAAAAATAAGCAATGATTATTAAAAAATTATAAAAGTAGTTAATAGTTATTTGAGGATTTGACATACATAGTGATGAGATAAGTTATCATTCATTTAAGTAAAAATTAAATGAATATAATTACTAATTTACTCATCAATGTTCTTTAATGATTGTAATGATTAACATTAACCGGTATTTCTTTACTAACAACATGGTAAAATACCCCCTTCTTAACTACATCTCTATTGTCACAAGATTCAAATTTAATATCATGTTTAAGGAGGATAAATGACTTATCGGTAAAGTAATATTTTATATTTTAAATTAATTTTAAAACAAGTATATTTTTTAAAATGATTAAATCAACTTTTATTCATTTTACAAATACTATAAATAGTAAGTTTAGATCTTAAATGAATGAAAAAATTTGTAAGGATCAAAACCAAGACTTACATATTTTGTAAAGATTAAAAATATATTTAAGTAATATGTATTGTGAAAAAACTAATAACTTAAAACATTAAAAAAAAAACACACTATACATATTAATGAGTCACCATTGTGTTGTCATTTCGACTTCACTCTTTTAATAACCAATCTCATTGGTTTGAAAAGTGATTTAAGTATTTTATATTTATTTATAGGATTAAACTTTTTTAAAGTAATGACTGTGCTTTTGAAGATAAAATATACCCAATGTTGATTAAAAAAATCAACTATTAAAAATTAAGATAAAATTAAATTTATATATAATAAAATTTAAATTTAATAATATTATCAATTGATAAATTTTAATTTATAATTTTTATTATTTTATTATTTTCTTTAATGCAATCTCTTAATTTTAGAGGAGACAAAAATGATTGTTTCTAAAATATGAATAACTAGCATTTTAATCCAATACACAATAAAATTATTGATTTTATATAATTATATTTATAACAAATAAATATTTTTTATTATATTATACTTAAAATTACAATAAACAAATAGTTTTGAATATATAAAAAAATATTTTATATTTGTGGCAAATAATTTATATTATGATATAAGATTGTTTTTAATAATTTATAATCTCTTAAAATATTAAAATAATATAAAACAATATATTAAAAAAAAGATGTTAAAAAAATATTGAAATGATTATAAAAATGATGTAGAGGAGTAATATTTAAATTTTAAAAATAAAATATATAATAAATCATTTTATATAAAAATATAAAACATAATTGTACATTAGAAATGTGAATCTTTTTTGTGATAAGTAAATATTCAAATAAAAATGAATTAGAGAGAGTGTGAGAGTTTACAAAGTACAAATTTATTAGAATTTATATACAAAAAAATATTTTGGTGGGATATGCTTTATTGCATTTTTGTAAAGCTTGTCACAATTAAGGTTTAGTGCTCACAATTAAAAGTTCATAACATAAATATGAGAAATTTAAACCCAAATAATTTATCTTGAATGTTATTGTTGATATATTTATTTTAACTATTTAATATTGATATTTTTTTAAAAATAGTTTAAAATTTTAATTTAATCTTATAAAATTAATTTATAAGATATTAATTATTTTTCACCTATATATATTATTATAACTTTATGTTTAGATGATGTGAGATTTTCAACGCATCTATTTATTAGACATTTCAAATGTAAATTTTGAAAGATTAAATATATATGGATAGTTTGATAACAACCTAATATAAAGTATATGATAAGTCCAAAAACAATCAATAATTTCTAAAATATATATTCTTATATTATTTAAAAAAATCAGTTAAAAGTGTAACTCAATTTTATAAAATTAATTTATTAGATAAAATTTACTTTTCACTAATATGCACTATGACCTTATTCTTACATATTAAGGATTGATAACAAAAATAATTAAAATAATATTAATTAATAATTATTTATTTTCGATCAATCATTTAAAACTAAAGACATTTAAGTTTTTACTATTAGTATTGATAAAAATGTTTTTTAAGAAAAAAATTCAAATTTTCATATCTAATTACTTGATAATTTGAATTTCATAATTAAAAATGACACAAATCTAATTAAACTCAACCTAAATTATTTAACCAATATTTCATGTATACTAATACATAAATTTTATGTTTTCTAATAGAAAGATGTAAAATTATGTTTTCTAATACATAAATTTTAAGCTGTAATAAGTGAAGGTGCAAGAGATGATGTGGGTGAGACTCTTGGACAGTAGCCAAGATATTTATACCTCCCAACACTACTTGTGAATCGGACAAACCCACATGGTAGTAGATCGGGTCGGGTCAATCCGGAGAAATCCAACCGTCCATTCCGTTTCGCATCTATCATCATCTCTTTGTCTTCCACAACCGCCTTTCATATTCCGGCCACCGGTCTTCTCTCTTCGTTTTCCCTCCGGCCGGTTCTTCTCCTTCGATCTCTCACCAATCCCCTTCCTAGGGTTTCCTTCGCACCATGACTCTTTCCGACGACGAGGACGAGAATCTCGCTCAATTTCTTGAATCAGAAGTCCTCTCCGAGGTATCTGACAAGGTATTCCTATTACGCACGCTTTTTAACTTATTTTCTTTTGTTAAACGATAGATTAGGGTTTTGATTTGGGGGTCTGAGATAAAAAGGTTTGTTTTCTAATAGTTATGCTGGAAACGTTGTTGCAGGAAGAGGAAAATGTGGAGGAACCCAAAGCGAAGAAAAAGCGCGTAGAGGAGGTTGAGAGTACCAAGCTAAAACAAAGTTCTGATTCAGCACCTGTGCCGAAGGACAATGTTGTCAATAATGGGGTGGTGCCGAGAAGGATTGAGACTGGTTCTTTCAGCAAAATTCCACCGGAGCTTTTCCATCATATCCTTAAATTTCTGTCCTCCGAGGTTATCTCTTAACACTTTATTTTATTTTTTGCATTTGTGTGTGTTTTGGTATAGACATTGGGGTAGTCCCAGCCAGAAAGCAAGTATATTCTCGGTTTAAAAATAAGTGTATAGAAATTAGGTTAGTCCCTTTATCTCTTATTTCTGATAATTCTGATTAACCAATAGGTCTATAAACACAGTGGCGATTGGCCTGAGCCAGGAGAGTCCGATGGAAATATATATTTTTAAATGGTTTTTGATAGATGATTCCCTTTAACCGTGGGTCCTCTATGTAGCTGACTATGGTTTTTTGATGGGTGCAGGACCTTGTTTCTTGTTCGTTAGTCTGTAGGTTTCTGAATTATGCTGCATCTGATGAGGCATTGTGGCGACGCCTGTAAGTACATATTGTTTCCTCCTCAAAATTGCATTTTTTTTTTAAGTTTTGTTGATATTTGTTTGAGATTTAGCATCTGATAGGTTACATGGACTTAGTTTGGATTATATAGTATTTCAATTTGGGAGTTGGCTTCTTGGTCAATCAGCTAGTGCTGATGTTCTACTTAGCTCAGGAGTGCTGGTCCCATATCTTCTGGGTATGAGACAGAGAACTCCCCTGTTTGAAGTGGAGCCCCCTACTACCAGCTTGGCTTTGAGGAGTTGGTTCTCCTCGTGTTATTTATGTTTCATGTGTAATGAGATGTGTCATTAAAAATGCATGAACTGTATATTAATGCCTATTGTCATGGTAAAATTTGCTCAGGTACTGCATGCGATGGGGCCTTCTCCCCCCTACAAGAAAGCTAAGGGAATGCCCATGGAAAAAGTTATACATTCAGGTGCTTGGACTTTTTCCATATATATTTATTTTGGTAGTCTTTCATGTGCATGTGTTCATCTATTGGTGATTTTTGGTTGAGGATTTTGTTGGCATCAACTGAAATGGAGTTAATGAACCTTGTTTTGTGAAATTTTGTGTGGATCTCACAACTTCTGCTATTATTATGCAGCGTGATGAAGAGGACATGGTCCAACTTGTTAGAAGCTGCCAAAATGAGTTTAAGGAGTACTACATTCAAATGCAAGCAGCTAAGCGAAGTCAAGCACCTCTTCCTTCACAGGTAATGATGGAAACTATTATAGTGTGGAGTGGAGCTATATACTAATATGTTGGGATCCTTTCAGCTATGTGAAAAACAAAGCTAGATTAACAGTTCTAGTCCTTATACAGCTTTTCATGAAGTTTATACAGCAATGCTGATTGCTTTTGCTCCTAGTGTGTCTATCCTAATTGAGATTTGTAATGTTATGCTAATGTAGTGTGGCAAAGTAAACTTGCATCTTTAATATTATGATCCCTTTTCATCTTTTTTTTTTTTACCTCTATAAAATAGAGGCCTCTTCACTGTTTGTTATTTCTCCCCCCCTTTTTTTTCTGCATGTGAAGTTGAAGGACGATAGGATAATTCTTGACAAAACATTGGCTGATCAAGTGTCATCATGGAAAAGCAGCAGGGGCCTAAATGATACAGTGGTGGCTGGTCATGCTTGTTCTGGGTTTACATGCTCTTTCTACCAAATTGGAGATGTATTTATTTGTGAGAAGACTGGTCAAGTTCATGGTGAGAAATTATCTATGCCAGTGTTTTTATGTGCTTTAATTACTTGACTTTTTTTGAACTTCTATTTTAAATTCTTTGGTCTGGGGTAGAGGTAGAGCTTATAATTTGTGTTTATTTTCTTTTCTAGTTTGCGATGATACATGTAGAGAAGTAGTGTTGGATCCTACAAACTCGCTTTTGGTCTGTACAATATCGGGGCACTGTTTTGATAGATTGGTGTCCCAGTCAGAACTGGAGCCTGATGCTGTAAGTCTGAATGTCCTTTAACATAATTTTTTTATATTGTTTTACTGTAATACATATCCATGCAAATTAATCTATAGAATAAATTGCACATACCCTTTTGTTGTTTCGTGAGATTGCACACACTCCTTGCTTTTTCTACTCTTACACTTGCTCCTTAATTGTTTTGAAAAATATTACACTACCCCTCTTAATTATTTGCAAAGATTAATGGAGGTTTCTGTAAACATTAAATAAAACAAGTGGGGGTTATGTATAATTTCACAAAACTTAAGAATAGTCAGTGTAATTTTCTCTTAATTTATTAAAGAGGAAAGTATCTATTATAATTCTGAATTATAATCTTAACAGTTAAACTTTTTTTATCAAACTTAAGTTAATGGTTACTTCACTTCTATGTAACTTATCTTTCTAATGGTTTCTTATTTCTTTTTAAATTTCAGGAGCAGCAGCAAGGTGGTGGGATTGATGAGGCAGACGCAGAACCATTTATGGGATCTGGGCGTTTTGGTAAATTTATCTCTTTTGCTTTCGTTCCCAAGTTCCTTTTGCACATGCATGTCATTATGACACATCTTTTTCCATTTTAACAGCACGAGCTTATTTACTGGGATACAATTGTGCTGATGAAAAGGAGCTTGAAGCTACTTTGAGGTTTTGCTAATCCCCACTTCGAGCTCTTCTGGGGTGGATAATCCCAGGTCTCACCATTTACGGATTTACCTATTTACTATTTAGTAGTTAACATTAAATATATTGCAGTTTCTCTTGGCAGAGGAATATTTGTTTAGTCTCAGTTATAGAACTTTGCATTTGTCTTCCTGTCTGTTATATTTATAGTTGTATGCTTTAATGTATAGTCGAATTTCTGTAGAGAAAAATATCTTTTCTCGTTACTACATTGTTGGTTCTTTATGTTCCAAAAGTCATAATTAGTGTGACATTTTTCGATCGGTGAGGTATTCACCAAAATAATTCTCAAAATTAATTGCGTTTTTATCCCTATAGTATTGTACATGCGATTTTGGTTTCTATAGTTTTAATATCTTAAATTAAGTACTCGTTCTTTTCAAATTAGTAAAGTTTAATTCAATAATTTATACTTTATCGAGCCTATTTTTATATTATAAATTAAAATACATAATTCGAAATGAGATTTTACTCTATTTACTTTCTCAATATTTTTATTATTATTTGTGTTATATATTTAAAATTGTATTTTACGCACTCCGCAATTAATCAAAAGATTTATCTCTCAAATAACTGTTTATTTATATTGATTTATTAATTTATTTAAAAAAAACTTAAAAGAAAATTATCAATAATTAAAAAATATATATGTATCATAATGGAAAATGTTTATTGTACATTTTGTTTTTGTGAGAAAAAGGAGCCAAAGTCCCAAATTAAGAACCTCTATTAAAAGAAACATAGGTGGAATTTGCAACAATAACAAAGATACAAAATCTGGAACAAAATTAAAAACTTTGAAGTCACTAGCTACGCATAAGCCACGGTTTGCTAAGGCATCTACTACTCGGTTAGCCTCCCTATGAACAAGATCAAAGGAAACTTAACGAGCACAGGCCAGGATCTTGATTTCTTGAATAACATTGAAACAATGATGAGAGGGGATACAACCTGAGCTGAAACTTCCTCACATAAATCCTGACCTTGACGCAATTTTTGATCAAAAACAAAATCATTTCTTCTCCCAAATTGCATCAAGAGTGCATGCAAAGGTTGCGTACCAACCGGCCGGAAGAAAATCCCTCCCGTTAAGATTAAATTCCATCCATTCTTCAATGTTGCATGTATAAAAAATCTGCGAGCTGTTTCCGTCCAACAGACCATCCCATGCTTCCTTGGTTCTGCTAGTCTCTCATAAGATGTATGATTGTTTCCCTTTCCTCCAAGCACACTGAGCAAGTATCACTCACCCCAATGTGTCTCCTGAATTGGTTCTCAATTGTGAGCATCAGGTCCCTAAATACTTTCCACATGATCATGCAAGTTCTTTCTGACACCTTCAACTTCCAAATATATTTGTACATGCCCTGCTTCATATCAACATCAACCTCTAACAATGATAAGTGTGCTTGTTTAGTAAAAAATTAACATCCACTGAACCTCCCCATATCACCACATTATTCCCAAAGACTTGACATGGAAAACTTATTGCTCGTATTTTGTGAATAGTCGACGTGGGTAAAACTTCATTTAGTTGGGAATGTCCCAAGAAACATGGTTATGATTGTAAGCATTTACTGGCTTTTCACATTCCAGATCTGTTATGGTACGCTAAGCAACATTCAACAAAATCCCATTCTTTGGGACTCAATAATCACTCCAAAAGCGGATCATACTACCATTATTAAGCTTCCATGCGAGGTTGTTTTCTAGCATGGGCCAACAAGCTTTTATGCCTTGCTAGAGATTTGGCATTGAGTTTATGAATGTAAGCAATGTCAAATCACGTCTATGATGTTATCTAGAATTCCAATATCTTCTAGAGTTTCTTTAACAAAAGACCAACTAAGCCTATCATAGGTTTTTTTTCAAGTTAATCTTGATTGTCATCCAGCTAAGTCGACCTTTCTTATTATGGCATTGAGTGAAAGACCTCTTGGACAATGAAAATGTTATTCAAGACATGCCTATTGGGGATGAAGTTACATTGACAAGGGGAGACCAGTTTTGGCATCAAACTTCAAAGTCTATTGTATATGATTTTAGTAGCAGTCTTGTATGTCACATTACAAAGACTTACAAGACAAAACTCTCTTATGAACCAGATTAATCTTAAGAATCAAGGATATAAGGTTCCATTGATGGTATTTCCTACTAAATTCCACTAGGTTTGATAGAAAAGTGCTTGTAGTCCATCCGGCCCAGGGGCTTTTAAGTGCTCCCATAGAAAAGATCATCCTTTTAATCTCTTCCAAATTCGCTTTTCTCTGCAACATTAATTTTTGGTTTTTCGACAACACTAATTATTAACCATGTCATGTGAAAATGTCACAAAATATTTAAAATTTTTGTTTGGGTTGAATCTATGTAAAATTTTGTTTATTTTTAGTTCTCTATTTTTAAAATAGAGTTTTCTTCTTCTCTTTTCTAAGATGCATCAAGGTTTTATTTCGGTTACAAAATGAAATTTTAATTTAAGCCAATTATTTACACCATATATGTGATACATGCTAATTGAACGGGAAAAAAAAAGTATTAACTAAGCATTAAATTGGATTAACAAAGTGAATGACAGACAAAATTTAACACATTATAAAAAAAAACAAGAGAGAGAGAGAGCACCAAAAGTGGATGTTTTAAAAGTAATAAACTAAAAATAAACTTTTAAATATTTACATAGATAAAAAAAATTATTTAACTCTTGTTATTTTAATTCATGATCTTGAATTTAAATAATATGTTGAATATTTGAAGGAGGATTTTTGTCGTTTATGGTAATTTTAACATGCCTGAAAATAATTTTTTAATAAAAAAAATACATGTAATTTATAAATAAAAAAATGTTAATTATTGAATCAAATTTACATTTGTAAAAATTATCTTGTCATCTAACGCCACAAAATAAAATGTGATCACATCATGTTAGATTTTAAAAATTAGACAGTTATTAGTAATTGGATGAAATATCATTGATTTGAAAATTATGAAAATCTGATTTATGTAACTAAAACTTCAAAAAGCTAAAATCAAGGAATTAAAAATATGATTAAACTAATACTCTTACGTGTGATAAAAAAATTTGAAAATGTTATCCCATGAAAGTCGAGGATGACTATTGTTGCATAGTTAGAAATGAGAGGATTGAGCAAATCATAAAATTACTATTTAATTGTTCATTATGATAGATGTTTGGGTGGGTTTTACTTAGGGGTGAGCAGAAATTCCGTCCCCGACCGAATTCGAAGTGCCCGCAGGTAAGTTCCTTTGTGCGGCCGGTTTTTTGCGGTTTCTCGGTTTTTCGGGTTTGTTAGAGTTGGTTTATTATGGGTTTTGTTGGTCGGGTTCGGATTAAAAAATTTGAATCCGTAGATATCTATACCCGACCGACCCAAAATAATTCAAAGGTGTATATTTATTCTTTTAGCACCGCGAGAGGAACCCTAGCCGCTGCTTACGAAAGTGACGAAACCTTCTCTTCTTGTGCTCAAAAAACCTAACCACCGCCGCTCAGCCTCAACGCCCTATTAAGCTTGTTCTGAAGAACAAACTTGTCCTTGATTTCAGTGGCGACCTTGAGGCGGTTCAGAAGCTCGCCAACATTCCCACCGCGTCCTTCCTTGTGTGTCGGAGATATAAAGCGAGTGCACCGGAAGACTGGGGAATGGGTTGAGTAAACTCCCCTGGGGCCGGAAGGGAAGGAGGTCCTCATACGGAGTCGCACACTTACTTGAGCAGTGCGGAAGACTGGGGAATGGGTTGAGTAAACTCCCCTGGGGCCGGAAAAATAACAGACGAAGCCTTGATTTTGGCCATCCACTTGAAGGCGTCGTCTAGGGTTTCGGCGTCGGTGAAGCTCTGGAGGAGGTGCTGGTAGCGCTCGAACTTGCGCTCGAATCCGACTAGACCGACCCGGTTAATCCGAGACCCGACAAATCCGAACCCGATAAACCCGAAACATTGTTAGGTCGAAAATGGGTTAAATTTTTTTTTGGTCGGTTTGGATTGGGTTAAATATTTTTTACCCAAACCCGTCCGAACCCGACCCGTGCTCAGGCCTACGAATCCGACTAGACCGACCCGGTTAATCCGAGACCCGACAAATCCGAACCCGATAAACCTGAAACATTGTTAGGTCGAAAATGGGTTAAATTTTTTTTTGGTCGGTTTGGATTAGGTTAAATATTTTTTACCCGAACCCGACCCGTGCTCAGGGCTAGTTTTACTCCTCATAGTCAATGACGTATTCTCCTTTTCCCTTACATTATTTTAGTTTACAATTAGAATCGGTAAAATGATTGTCTAATGTGATTTGGTGGGATAATAGTTGAAAAAGTGAATCATGTTGGTCACTTTATGAACAGGTCAGACTTGTGGTTACAATAAAGGGAAATTTTAGTCTAATTAACTTTCTGATGTAGTTTATGTAAAGTTAAATAAATTTTAAATATCTCAATTTACATTTTAATTTGTTTATTCTTTTAATGATATAAATATAACTTATTCATATATTACAAAATAAAAAGTTATTCATTTACGTACTCAAATGTCTAATAAAAAAAATATGTTTAAAATTCTTTTATCAAGACAAAAACATCAACAAACATATATTAAATTATATTATAGGTTAAATATTAGATCATTGTTTTTAAACATTATTTAAACACAAAAACTTAAAAATTCTATGATAATAAATTCATATTAAATAGTTCAACAAAATTACGTTTGAAATTAACATATTAACTAATAAAATATTATACTTTCCAACTTAAATAATTTATTTTTTAATCATGTACAAATTTTAATTATTTATTTGACAATAAAATTTGAATTATAATCATATTACTTCAACGTTATTATTAATAACCTATTATGCACAAATATATAACTTTATATTAAGTTTGAACTCTTTTAAACTCATGATCAATCAAACATTCGAGTCAATCATGCATGTGTTGATCATTACCAATCTAATAATTATCAAGTTAATAAATTAATACTTTTTTATATATAGAACATAGTTATCACAAAATCAAAAGATAATTCACACTGACATAAATGATTCTTAATAATATAAGAAAGATAAGCTAAAAGAAAGGACACATTCAAATTAATACAAATAAAAGACAATCTAAAATATTATATAAAACTCAATTAGGTTTTTACTCCCACTTTTACCTTTGACCGAAGAGAGTTATTGTTAAGTTAAATTTTTTTTTTGGTCTTTTATTGTACTTTTTTTATTTATTTTTATTTTTATTTTATTAAAATATTTATTTTGATATTTTATTTTTTATATTTGAATTAGATTGATCCTTTTAAAATAATATCAATTTTTAATTTTACAATATGATTTTGAATCAAATTTTGACTAATTTAAAATATGAAATTTATGACATAAAAATTCAGTCAAATAAAAATTATGAAATATAATTAATATTTAAATTTAAAAAGATCATAAACATTAAATATAATACAAATTATATAAAAATATATTCATAAATAATTAAAAAATAATATAAAATTAAAAAAATTTAAATTATTTAATTTTTACTATTTTTATATCATTTTAAATTTAAGTTTCAATTACATTCAATTTCATATAAGGGAATCTTATAACATAAATTTTAAGTTTTGACTTATAAAAAAATAAAATTAAAAAAGATAAAATTAACTTAAGTTTAAAAAATAAATATTTTAAAAGATAAATGATGAAAGTAAATTTAAAAAATAAGATAGATGATTAGAAATGTAATTTAGTTATGAAAATAAAGAAATTCCACGTGTCTCTGAATGGAGAGTGAATCACAGAATGAATGCTTAGACGCGTCGCTGCCGAGTAACGCTAACTCTTATCTTTGACGCTTCTTTATCAATAAAAAGGCAAACCCCTCTTTCGATTCACCATCGCTAATTCCAAATCCCTCTTTTCTCTTCCGCAAATTTCTAAATCTGTGAGTTCTCTCTTTCTATTCTTTTTCAATTTTTCCTAACTGTTCAATACAACTAATTATTCCTTCGAATATGCTTTCTACCTCTCTGATCTGCACCTAAATCCCTTTCCCCCTTTTCTGTATGATGAAAATAATAATTAACTTTCATTTTCTCAAATTTACTGTATCAAAATTTTGTATTCTTCGATTTCACATTATATTCATGGCCACCATCGCATTGTTGCTTTATGCACTACCTCAATTTATTAATTCCGATATGCTTGGATTAGATGTTATGAACTTATGATGGTTTCTCCTGAAATACAGCACCTTTTGATGTTCATGTGTTCGCAATTTTTTATTCAAGAATAAAAATCAAAGGTCTGCTATTGCATGTGCATGCAAGATATAACTCCATCAGCATTTGTATTGTTTATGGCTTGAATTGGAGAATTCCCATTTTATTAGAAATTTTAAAGCTGTGTCTTTCTGCTTGTGACTATATCTAATCAGTGTGTTACTGTTTTGAATTAACAGATTTCTAGAGCCTAGTCATCAACTTTTCCCCTGAAAGATGGGAGGTGGAAAGGACAAACATAATGACGAAGACAAAGGAATTTTCTCACATCTCGCTCATGGGGTAGCTCAAGCTGCTCATGGGTACCCTCATGGAGCCTACCCTCCACCTCCGGGGGCCTACCCTCCCGGTCATGGGTACCCTCCACAAGCTGGGTATCCTCCGGCTGGTTATCCCCCTGCCGGTGGCTATCCTCCTGCTGGTTACCCTCCCGCTGGTTACCCTCCTTCTGGTTACCCTCCCGCTGGTTACCCTCCACATGGTTATCATGGTTCATCTGTTCCACATGGTATGATTCCTTGTTTGTTATTTTAAATTGGATTAAATATGTTGTAGTTCAATTTGCTCTTTTAAACAAGTTCTATTGATTTTAGTCCTTATAATTTTTTCTTTATGTGCAAAATTCTTGACATCAAGGACCAAATGTTAACGGGAGAAAAAGTTTAGGAACTAAAATTGAAAATCAACAAAAATTCAAGATACTAGAACTAATAAGAATTTTTTTCAGGGACTAAAAGTGAAATCTATAAAAGTTCAAGGACTCAAAACATATTTAATCTTTTTAAATTATTAAATCTTAAGTCGACAATTTTTTTTCTTTTCAATTCCATTGTATAACTCTTGAAGGTTTAACTAGGATTTATTAAGATATTTTTAAACCATTGTATACTATATGATTTACATTGCAAATTCCATACAACATACAAACAGATTGTTTAGCTAAAAACAATAAGATGTGTTATTCATACACCGAATCATACATCAATTTCTAAAATATTTTTTATGTCTATATGTCTATCTCTCACATCACATTACTTGTTACATCTCATATTTCCTTCTTTTTCTCTCTTCTGGTTGTAAAATTTGTTGTACAATTACTCATGCAAATAACATTTCTCAAGAAGAATTCATAAGTTAGACATTCTAACTTGGACCTTTTGTAAGTGATAACTAGTAATTGATTTGTGAAAGCAATTATTGTCTCATTGTTGTCCTCAATCGTTAATATTCTCTACAGTAATGTTTTAATAGTTTCATTTTGTATATACTTTGGCTGTCCTCTACTGTGTTTGAAACTTGCTGTGTGTTTATATGATTGTATTTTACTTAAACTTAGTAGACTTATGCAATGCCTATATGAAAGTTTTTTCTGCTGTCTAATATTTATAGTAATATACTTGATGGCAAGCTAACTTCCCTGCTTTGTTATCAGGATCACATGGGCATGGACACGGCGGAGGTATGGGGGCATTGCTCGCTGGCGGTGTTGCAGCAGCGGCTGCTACGTATGGGGCTCACCACGTTTCCCATGGCCACTATGGTTATGGACACATGCCCCATGGGAAATTCAAGCACCATGGGAAGTTCAAGCATGGAAAGTTCGGTAAGCATGGGAAATTTAAGCATGGGAAGTTTGGCAAGGGTATGTTCAAGAAGTGGAAGTGATTATATTCTGTGTATAATATACAAACTGCCATTCTAGATGATGTTGCGGATTGCTTTTATAAATAAAATCTACTTTGTTTGATGTCTATCAATACTTCGGTACAACTCTAATATTCTTTTATCTAGACAAAGATGTATCACCCTGTTCATATTCTACAAATAGATGCACTGGATATTATGTGTGAGCTTGCATTTGCTGCCGCAGCAATAGAGACGGATGATCCCCTCAATCTTTACTCTTTAAAATATACTTATTATAATAAATATGTAATTATTAAGAAAATTGTTAATTTTTTTTTTAATTTGTTTGAGATCAACTATTCTTGTTATAACTGAGAGATCACATGGATTGTTATAACTCTGAGATGTGATACATTCTATATTGTTGGTGAACTTTATGATTTAAATAAAATAATATTTATATGTTAGCTAAACCTTACACCATGTAGCAAAGCATTGACTTATGGATGCATAGTTTGTTTTGCTGTGTAATACCATTTTAGTTTTAGCCTCGGTCCGTATACATTGGATGTATAATGTACTGGTGAAAATAATTTGTTGTTGGACAGTACACTTCTGGTTCATATGGAAGTGGAACATAAAGAAACTTGGATTCTGTGCTAAGCATCGATTCAAAGCCTATGCTTTCCCGCCGTTCATTTATAATTTTTCCGCTCTGCTTAGAAGAATCGGATACGTTTTGACACGATCTTCTCCTTCCCAGCTGCATGTATATCCTTCAAAGAACCATTTAAAAATCAATTGTTAGATTAGATTTTTTTAGTTATTTTTCATTTATTTTTATTTTCCTATTTTTCTTATACTAAATCTACAGGGTCAAAATGCATGACCCGTTAAAATTTGGTCAAGTATTGAGATTATTAAAACTTAATTATAAATAACTTATATTATTATTTTCGTCATTGTTGTCACTTGTCATTGATGTTATTATTATTATTGATATTGTTATAGTTACTATTGTCAATGCTATCTTCATTGTTGTTATTGCAATTGTCCTGTGATGTGAAGGCTTGGTGGTGTTTTATATATATATATATATATATATATATATATATATACACAT